TTTTCTTACAAATTAAAAATTAAAATTCTTGATATCCTGATTGGGATATAGATTTTCTTGATATCCCAATCGGGATATCGAATTATATCCTGATCGGGATATAATTTCAAACTATATCCCGTTCGGGGTATAGAAAAAATTTTGCTGCAAAAAATGATATCCCAATCGGGATATATATCCCGATTAGGAATACATCCCGATCGGGATATGTCTCCACACTGACGTGTATGAGTATCACAAACATGACACAAAAAGGATCGAAAGAGGCCGTGGATATTCTTAGCTAATTTACTTTCTATTTCTATAATTCTAAGATTTCATCAGATTTTTGTAGTATCTTATAAAATATTACAAAGATTATACTGTCTAAAATTTTTTCAAGTTTGGCTAACAATCTGTTAGGATCTTAATAATAAGAACGATGACGTGTTTTAATGATATTCATTTGAGATTCGTTGAGAATTTTTTAATTTTTAATCCACATTATCTAAAGTGGATTGCACAGTACTGAAATATGAAGAGAAATGAAAAATCACTAGATAGACTCTGACTTCAAAGTTTTCTTCGCTTATGCTTCTTATATGAACTGTTTATGAAAAGGCTAATAAATCGCATCACTTACTTGCTTGATTTCGTTTTTAGGATCATCTTAATAAATTTCATCCAAATACTATATGTAAATTCTGTGGCATAAATTGTTCAAATAAGAGTGCCTTAAATGAGCACCTAGCCCTTAAGTGTTCTAAGGCATTTATCACCTGTCCATTGATCACCTATGGGTGCTTTACTCATCAGGCAAAATACTGAATTTTTCTAAGGCGCCGCTAATTCAAAGTTGAAGCAGTATTTTATTTATTTCTTAAAAAAGTGGGTTTGAGTGGGTTCTCTAAAAAAGTGGGTTTGAAATAGGTTCGTTCGCAGTAGTGGATATTAGAGATTACTTTTGGTTTAAACTTTATTATAGAGGAAACAGTAATCAAATCGGGTTGTGCCCATTGCATGACACTGGGAGGGAGAAAGAGACAAGAAAAAAAATAAAAAGTAAAAAAACTAGATAAATAAAAATAAAAAACAAATGCTAATGTTTTACCAGATGAAAACAGTATAGAAGTAATAGGATTTCAGAAATGAGAAGGATATGAGGATGATTTTCTGTGGCAACTGCGTGAGTGAGGTATAGAGAATTTTCCGTAAGAAAAGTAATATCAGTTATGCCCCAAAGTGGTTAGACTCTCTAATGAAAGCAACGATAGCCTTATAAATACTTTTACTTTTTTCAAATTCAACAGACAAGTCCCTAAAACCAAAGAGTAGAAAGTGAAGAGAGAGAATAATTTGTGTGCCCAAAATGGAATTAATAGTACTCATCAGTTTCTTTCGAGCTTTATGGTATTTCCTACAGATCAGAAAAAAAATGAATAAGGGTGTACCTGAATAGGTCAGCATTCAATTGAGAGAATCCAATTCTTAAACGAGCTAAATGAAGTTCATTAGATCTGTCCTCACATCTAGGACATACAATGTCAGATTTCACCATATACTTCAGTCTTTTTAAGTTCCATCAATTTGAGTCTAAATCTCGTGTAATTTGTTATCAAGCGAAGTGCAGGAGAAAGCTGATTCCACAACTTACAAGTTGCTATGATGAAAGAGTTTTCATATATCATCAATCTACGGCGCCGAACTGGAATTTGTTGAGCAGCTGTGCTTCTCCTTCTTAGTGAATAGGTATGTGATGTAGTATCAGTTGGAATGAGAGACTGAAGTGAAGGGGATGCTTTGCCAGACTTAATTTTGTGAAATAAGCAAAGTCGCTGAATAAAGAAGGTTTCTTCTATCGGAATCCAACCAAGATCATGCTTTTATGATGAAGACAGTCTCATTCCATCAGTAATTGCCAAGGCTGAACTATACTGAATAGTAGATATACGTCTCAAATTAGTTTGTGTGGTACTAGAATAGATGACACTAATATATTATGGAGAAAACAAAGGCATTGTAAACTAAGCATAAGGCTTCTCGAGATATCACATGACTCAGCAATTTCATAGTATCAATAATTCTGGAACACTTAACAAAAACGTAATTTATGAGGCAAGGCCAGTCTAACTTGGGAGTTAATACTAGTCCTAGATGAGATACTTTGTCAAGGTAGACTAGAGGAGAACCGTCTAGGACTAATACAGGTGAAAGATTTCTCTTATAGTGACTAAAAAACATGATATTTGTCTTGGAAATATTGATATTCAAAATCCAGTTTTTCGACCATTTAAAGATAACCTCAAGATCAGTGTTCATTTGAGTAAGGGCTTGCTTCATAGCAGAAGCAATTACATACAACGAAACGTCATCAGCAAACAGCTGACATGAGCACTGTAGAGATTGAGGCAGATCGTCAATAAACAATAAAAATAAATAAAATAAATTGAACCTTGAGGTATCCCACACACTATACTAGCCTCCTGAGAAAAAAATCTATCAATCATTGTAGTAATTCTCCTATCACTAAAATAGCTCCTGAACCATTCTATTAACAAAACAAGTAAATCTTTACTATTCAACTTTATCCACAGCGTCTCTGCGAGACACGGTCAAAGGTCTTTTGAAAATCAATAAAAACAGCCAGTTAATCCCGCATATTAAAATATTCTTGTTCTAGGAAATATCAACATTAGAATCAAGTCTACCAAATGAATTGTATGACTTTATTTTTCTCTATTTAAAATAAGTGTTTGTTGAACAAATATTATCAAACAATTTTATCAACAATTCAACATTATATCAAAGCAATTAAAGTTGATGATAAAAATGTTGACTTTGTTTTTCCATTATCGTTATATTTAAAAATATATTCCAATCTTGAATCAGTTTTTATAACGAAAGTTAAAAAGGAGAGAGAAAATATTTATCATATTTAAAATTGTTTAAACAATTAATAAGTTTAAAAATTTATTTTAATGTAGGATAATGTAAGAAAACTGTATCAAATGAATTCTGTTCAAATCTATTTCAATCTGATTGTCAACTACAAACATTAGTTTTGGACAACGCTTACTTATCTATTAATACTCATATCATTCAACTATGTTTTTCTAATAGAAACTTGAAAGTAAAATTACATTCTCTCGATAATGTAATTGTTCTGTTAAACAATTTATCTTCAATCGAATATGTAAATATTTATATGCCGGAGATTAGACGGCAGCACCAACAACAACAAAATGACGTCGAATTTAATTATGATAAAAATATTCCTTCGACATTATCAAAATTAAAACATCTTGTATTCTCCGCTGTTTTTAGTGCTAATTATGATTATTTAGAATTGCTATTATCTCATTGTTGCTCTAATCTAGAACGCTTATCATTGAATTTTTGTGGTCTTGAATTTATTGATGATGAACGTTTAGAAAAAAAGTTATTATTAAAACTAACAAAATTGAAAGTATTTCATTTTTGTTTTCGTATTTCAGTTCTTCATAACACATTGAACATAGACAATTATATCCAGACATACAAATCGTCTTATTGGATTAATAATCATCATTCGATTTTATGATTTAATCAACCGCTACGTGATCAATATTATTCTGTATTTTCATTATCCTATGTGTTCGAGAGATTGTCTTTTGTTACAAATAATCTCGTTAACTATCGATCAAATGTCAATGATGACATTTCGTTATACAGTAACAAAGCAAAAGACACCACTTTCTATGATGGAGTTCCGTTTACATTAGAATTATTCCAAATTATTCAAAAATCATGTTTAAAAGCAACAGAACTACCATTTAGTGCAGCTTCTGTTCGTTTTTTCAGTTATAATCTAATGAATAATGAATTGATATTGAAAAACATCGTTTCCGTGTGGCTGTTTCTCAATCAATTGGAATATAAATATTTCACACGATTATTCCATTGACTGTAAGTCTATGGTCATACGAAAAAAATTTGGTCATACGAAAAAGTACAAAGTGTTTGTGTGTGTGTGTGTGTGTTTGTTTGTCCGTACAGAGGTGTGACGGACGTAAGCACACACGGTGATGGACGTACATACATATAGTGACCACTGAGTGTGACGGACGTACATACATATAGTCATGTGGCAGTGTGACGGACGTACATACATATAGTGACTACCGAGTGTGACGGACGTACATACATATAGTCATGTGGCAGTGTGACGGACGTACATACATATAGTGATCAGTGAGTGTGACGGACGTACATACATATAGTGACTACCGAGTGTGACGGACGTACATACATATAGTCATGTGGCAGTGTGACGGACGTACATACATATAGTGACCAGTGAGTGTGACGGATGTACATACAAATAGTGACCACTGAGTGTGACGGACGTACATACATATAGTCACTAATGAGTGTGACGGACAAAGATCCACATGGGTAGATGCACTCGCGTTTTCTGTGGAATCAGAGACCTGTAACACCTATCCTGGCTGCGAGCGCGGACCGAAGGGACGCGTGAGCATTGTCTGGAATTTCGAAATATTGTTAGACCTCTGGGGTTCTTTGGGTTGTCAGATAAAACCAAATCAAATTACAGAGACTTTGTCTGGAATTCAGAAGTATTTGTAGACCTCTGGGGTTCTTTGGGTGCTCTGGAGAAAACTTGTATAGATTGAAGCTACTTTACGAAGGTGACAGATCATATCAGAGAAGTATTCATAACGCATGGTAGATAGTCCCTAGCGAACACCGACCGAAGGGAGGCGTAAGCGTTGTTTCGACGAACTAGGCCAAACGTTGCCCCCCACTCAGGTTTTGTTATCAAGGGTAAGAAGACTGATAGATTCGTCTATTTCGAACGTCTGTATAGCACATGAAAGCAAATCAAATTACAGAGTCTCAATGAACTACAGAAATTCTGATAAACTTCTCTAACCCGTGAAAAGCTATAGCAACTACTTCTGTAAACTACGATGAAAAATATGCAAGCACTCATCGTAAAAATACGCATCAATTCTGTAGTAATAAGATCGGGCTACAACAGAATGAAATAATATTCGCGACACGACATTCATTCGACTTACAGTCAATGGACTTAGTGAATCGATACGATTCACGTTATTTATTATTAATGGCACCAAATATTCTAAGTTTATTTCTACTACAGAGCTGACTACTAGAAGTAATAAGAGAATCACAAAACAAACCAAATGCTTTTCAAGAATTACAATCAATATGTAATCCTATCAGACATGTCTGTATTGGTAGCAGTTCATACGAACACAATGCCTCAAACGATAATGGTGCAAAACTGTTATTTCCAAATGCTACACTTACAGGATGCAACCAAACATTCATTTAGGCCGTTTACGTTAATATTAATAAGTTTCTACAGGCCGAAGTTTGCATTTGTTTTGAAAGAAAGTAGACTTCATTAATGAATAAATAACCACTTGTTTTCATCGCATTTAGTGTGATTAGTGCAGTTTATATGATCTAACGATTCAGTCCCGATTCGTCGACACATTAATTAATTTTCCTGATTCGTCGACACTTTATAGTGTCGGCGACTCACAGACATCTTTCATCTCACCGCCCAAAATGTTGTCGACGAGTCAGGAAAAAAATTAATGTGTCGACGAATCGGGAAGTGTGAGACTCCAGGACCACCTCGAGATATTTGTCTAGTGGTTGATGTTATTGAGGTTGTATCCTGCGCACAAGAAAATAATGTGTTGAAATATAATTTATTTGAATGACTTGAACTGTTAAAAAGTGAACTTATATAGTAAAACAGAGAAAGAAACTGACAACAAAGTTTACAAGCGATATACAGGATATACAGCGATGGCTTCTCTTTTTCTTCTAGAGCGTTTATTATGTATAGTTCGAGGGTTCGATCCTTTATGTGTATGGTTCGATATGTATTGTTCGATATTGTATGGTTCGATATGCATTGTTTGATATTGTATGGTTCGATCTTCTATGTTTCCTTTGTCATGTATATAAGTTATATACATATACATATACATATATATATACAGATATATTCTTACTCCAAGTACTAGCGCTAATCAGTGACACCCTGCGCTAGGAGTTAACACGCTCCCCTCCTAAGAAAAAGACGGCTCTATCGTCTTTTTGAATAACTCTCAGTTATAAATGTTCTGTCAATGTTCTCTGATGTTGTTGTTGAAGAAAAGACATTGTTGCCACAGTGATCAAGGCAAATTGTTGTTCAATAGTCATACGTTAATTTTCACACAATTACCGACGAAGTTCTTGAAAACTAATCTTGGAATTATAGACAATCTTAATCACATTTGAGGATAGGTATTGCGTTTATGCATTTATTTATTTATTATTGTTGTTCTAATGACTACTGTTATTGCTTCAGTTGATTAATAAATGCTGAGAAAACGACAAAAAAACCGTTCTGTCTAAAACCATGATTATGAAACTCCCAATGCCACGATTTCATCTAATCTTTGGGTTCAGTTGTGTTTAAATGTTCAATTATCAATGATTCACAGTAGCTAATTGTAATCAAAGATCCCAAGCCATAAATTCAGCCTCAATTTTTGTTGATGTGCCTTTCATATTCAGCCGACCAACTCAATTACTGCCAAAATTATATTCCAAGTCATATTGAACAGAATAACTGTTGAATTTCTATTATAATAGTTGATGTTGGATGTAAATACTGTGGCATTGTTCAAAAATGAAAGATGTACGATGAATTTCTTTCTGAAACTTCGAACTTTAGTTGTTGAATACATAGTGATGTTCACAATTATTATTAAAATTGTTGTCGTTCTCGAACTGGTGTGAGATCATTTAAATGACGACGATATTCTTGATTTGTTTGTTGATCTACGACGAAGTATGTTGGATGATTTGTCTTTGAGATGATCATTGGAATTGAATTGTACTTATCTTGAATATTACTAAAACGAGGATCTAATTTTAATCTTGTACCTTCAACTCTCACAAAAACCTGATCACCAATTGCGTAATGTGGATCTGGTCTGTTTTTGTCATATCTTTGTTTTGCCAATTTTTGATTGTGGATGGTATTTTGACGGGCGCTTGTATGATAAACTTTTAAACATTTTTCCAATTGTTTATAATAATCATTTGGTTTGTTGAAAATCACTTCTTGTCGAGGTGAGTCTGTTGGAAGTTGAGGTTTTCTACCAAATAATAATTCAAACGGTGAATATCGTGTTGCAGCATGAACACCTGTATTGTATGCAAAGACCACGGCATCCAAAAATTCATCCCAATTGTTGCTTTCTTGATCTTGAAGTTTAGCAATTTGTGGAATAAACGTTGAATTGAATCGTTCTACCATGCCATTTGTTTGAGGATGGTAGACCGAACTAAAAATATGATGGATGCCAATTTTGTTTTCTAATGCTTGCAACAATTGATTCTGAAAATGAGTTCCTTGGTCTGATAATATTGTCGTTGGAACACCAAATTTACAAATATAATGCTTGAATAATGCTTCTGCCGTTGTTTGTGCAGAACAATTTGATAAAGCCACTGCTGTCACCCATCTTGTGAAATAATCCGTGATCGTTAGAACATAACGATTTTCGCTTGGAGAACTTTCTAATGGTCCGCAAAAATCAATTCCCAACAATTGATTGGGTCCTTCTGGAGGTGTTATTGGACAAAGTTGTCCAGGTTTTTTTTTTCTTGATATGTTGAACTGTTGACAGGGTAGACATGCCTTGATATAATTCTCAATTGTTGTACGCATATCAGGCCACCAATATTTCTCCTTGAGTTTCATATATGTTCGTTGAGTTGAAAAGTGCCCACCGCCAATTGGATCATTATGACAAGCTTGAAGCAAAGTTTCAATCATTGAAGATGGAAGATAAATTAATTGTCTCTTCTCTTGTCTACGATGCCTTGGTAACAATTTGAACAAAAATCCACCATGAATAATGTAATATTTGTTGTGTGAATCTTTTTTGACTTCTTGAAATTTCTTCTGAATAACTGGATCTTTCTGTTGTTCTTCTTGTAATTGCTTAATATCAAATTTGTTGCATGAAAATGGAGTTGTTGATGGTGGATCATCGGATTCTTCTGAAGCTGAAGATGAATCATCTTTATTGATAGTTGTGAGTTGCTGTTGTTTTCGTGTTGATGAACGAGTCACAGCTGAAACAATTGCATGTTGTGGTTCTGATGTAGTGTTGTTGATTGAAACTATTGGTTTATTCATAGTTTCCGATGGTGGATCACACTGTCGATTGTTGTTCTTGGATGAAACTCTAAAATCATGTTTACCTTTTAATGAATGACTTGAATTGTTGCTTAGAATTGAGAAATTATCTTGAAATTGTGGTATCTTTTGGTTTTTCGACCATTGTTTAGTGTCAATACCGTATTCTGGATCTAATAAATCAATGTCCAGTTGTTTGATTGGGTTTCTTGATAAATAATCAGCCAAACAATTCTGCTTTCCTTGGATGTGCTGGATTTCGATGATGTTAAATTCTTGAAGAAGGATTGATATTCTATTGGCCATGTTATTTCGAAGCTTCTTTCGGTGCATTTGACATAACGGACAATGATCTGTTCGGATGATTAAATCACGTCCTTGTATAAATTGCTTCATTCGTTTGCACGATAGAAGAATAGCCAATGCTTCACCAGCCACAATGTCATAATTCTTTTGATGTTGATCCAATAATTGACTATGATAATATAAATTTCTTGTTTGTCCTTCAATTTCTTGTTGTAAAACACCAGAAATACCATTGATTGAAAAATCAGTTGTGAGAATTACTGGCTTTGAATCGTCTGGGAAATGCAAAAATAATGGTTTTTGTACCAACAGTTTCTTCAATTGTTTGAAAGCATGACTTTGTTCATATTTCTATTTGAACTTGTGTTTGTTTGCTTTGGTTAAATTAGTTACAGCGTGAATTGGTGCAGCAACTCTGGCAAACGCTGGAATAAATTTTCTATAAAATGCCAAACTTCCAACAAATTCATTTGCTTGTTTGAGAGATTTTGGTTCTGCCAGATTCAGAATTGCTTGCATTTTTTCATTCAATGGCTGTATGCCATCGGATGATATTCTGTGGCCTAAATAATCAATTTCTTGTTTGGCAATTTCACATTTGATGGTGTTGAGTTGAAGATTATTTTGTTGTAATAAATTCAAAACGTTTTGTAGATGTTGACAATGTTCACTGAACGATTTGGAATAAATAATTATATCATCGAGGTAAACCAATGAATAGCCAATGCATTGTTCCAAAATTTTTGACATAATTCGTTGAAACGATGGTGGAGCATTCTTAAGGCCCTGGGGAAGGACATTCCATTGATATAATTTTCCGAAAGCACTGAATGCCGTCTTATGACGATCTTTTTTGTCAATTGGAAATTGCCAGAAACCTGATTTTAAATCAAGTTTTGAAAAATAATGATTTTTTCCATTGCCAAGTTCTTGGATAGTTTCTTCCATATTGGGTAAATCATATCCATCCTTTATTGTAATATCATTCAATCTTTTGTAATTCATTACTAGACGATGACCACCACTGGATTTGCTAACCAGAAGAGCAGGTGATTTGTATTGGGAATGAGATTCACTAATTTGTCCAGCTGCCAACAATTCTTTGATAATCTTTTCCAAAGCCACTTTTTTCTCGCCATAATATGGATATTGCTTATCAAATGGTGGTGATTGATTATCTTTTGTATTGATTGTATGAAAAAGTGTTGTGGTTGCAACTGTTGGCTTCGAATTATCAAATGGTTTCTTGTTATTGAGTAAAGCATTTTTTAACATTGAATGTTGGTTCTTTTCATGGATATGTTTAATGAGGTGATCGATTTTTTCTTCTATTGTTAAATTTTCTGAAAGTTGCTGTTCAATGTGATTGATTACTGGTGTTGTAGAAAAATCGGGATCATCTGTTGATAGCCGAATAGTTCCCAAAATAATTCCTTTTGATAAATATTGTGGATATGGTGATGGGTTGTACAAGGGGATTGTGATTGTATGATGATGTACATTGATCAGAGAATTAGCCATTAACAGTGGAATTTGCTGTTTTAAATTGAATGATGGTTTGAAAATCACAGTTGCTTTTGAGATTCCCGCTGACACATTAACTGAATATTCTTCATATGGAGAAATAATAACAGAATTAATAAGACGAACGGGCAGTCGAAGATTTTCTGGATTTTTGTCCAACGAAACTGTGGTTGTAGTGTTGTTAATGGTGATCGAAATAGATTTTGAGCCCGCATCAATATTCATTTTATATTTGTTGATATAATCCGTTCCCAATAAACATTCCACACTAAGATGCTTGACTACCAATGCTTGAATTGTTGTAACAGTTGATCTTAATTTAATTTCTAATTCCACTGTTCCAATAACTTCTAAAGGCGAATATCCATCTGCTAGAGTTAATTTTTGATGATTTCTATTGATGAATTTTTTGTGTTTTGTTTGTCGCAGAGTTCGTTCAGTGATAATTGAATTAGTTGCTCCGGTATCAATCATTATTCTCATGTTCTTGTTGTTGACAGCTGTTGTGATGAACATTAATGATGGTTTTTTGATGGTAAATAATTCGGAGGCATCACCATCTGATGCATCCGCTACTGGAAATCCTGACCTCCTCGTTGTTGATTTTGATAACGAGGACCACGATGATGTTCATAATGATTTTGGTTATATTGTGGTTGATGAGAATATGATTGCCGATTTCTATTATCTTGCTGATTCTGAGTTGTTGATTGGTTGGAATTTGGCCATCTGTGATTTGAGGAAGATTGATGATTAGGTGTTGTGGTAAACTGTGCTGTTGTATGAATTCCAGCATTTCTTGATGTGGTTGGTTGAATAGCTGATGAAGTTACTGTTGTTATTGATTCAGTTTCTGTTAAATAACTGTTTCTTCGTTGATCGTTCTCTTTTAATTTTTGTAAATCTTCAAATCTCTTGGCAATATCAAGAAATTGTACTGTTGTTTTTGGTTGCTTTTTATACATTTCATATTTCAATGAATTATTCATGTTTGACATTAAATAATTAACTTTCAATGTTTCTTCCATGGATGGATCAACTTCTTTTAGTAATTTTATCATTTCATTATAATATTGTGTGATGGTTTGATGTATTGTTTGGTGATAATCTTTTAGCCTTTGAAATGCTTGAATGTCCGAATATGTTGATGTAAACTGTTTTATAATTTGTCCTCTAAACGATGACCATGATATTATTCTAGATGAATTTTCGTTAAACCAATCGTTTGCTTCACCATCCAAAAATGTTGAAACATATTTCAATCTCAAGTCTTCTGGCCATGAATTTGCTTGCATTTTATGTTCTAAGTCATCCAGCCATGCTTTAACATTTTGTTTTCCACCACCAAATTTTTTCCGATTCTTGACTAACTCATCTAAAAAAGCTGATTGGACCATTGTTTCTAAATGAATTGATGATGGGTATGATGAAACTTGAAACTGTGGAGTGGACGACGCTGACCAATGATGGGCAGATGTTGATGATGGCTCAATTGCAGTTGGTTTATTATCGATGACTAATGATGTATTAGTTGCTGTCGTTGATGTTGGTATGACGCTTGCTAGTTGTGTGTTTGGTGTGGAAATTCCTGGATTTGTAACATGATGAAATTGCGAAACTGTGGTATTTTGTAATTGTGAAATTATGGAATTTGACAGTTGTGGATTAATGGAATCATGAAGTTGTGAAAATGAGGGGTTTTTCATAGTTTCTAATGATGCAATTGTTGC